AAGTAGAGCAGTACTATCACCTCCCTTGACTTGCATGCTATACCTCTGTTAACGCAACCTAAAATAGCATTTGCTTTTTTTGCAATAGCATCACATTGCTGACTCATTTTGAGGTTGTGATCCACCAGAACTCCCAGATCCTTCTCAGCAGTGCTGCTGCCAAGTCAGTTATCCCCCATTCTGAATTTGTGCATTTGCTTTTTCTTTTCTAAGTGTAGCACCTTTCATTTATCTTTGTTGCCTAAAGCCCAGTTCTCCTATTATCAAGACCCCTCTGAATTTTAGCTCTCTCCTCCAAAAGTGTTGGCAACCCCTCCCCCAGCTTTGTGTCATCTGCAAATTAGATGTCTCTAGTATGCTCTCTATTCCTACATCCAGGTCATTAATAAAGATGTTAAACAACACTGGACCCAAAACAGATCCCTGTGGAACCCCACTTGAGACCTCCCTTCAATCTGACATCGTTCCATTAATATCCTCTGTTTGCGGTTGCTTAACCAATTATGTACCCACTTCATGGTAGTTGTGTCGAGCCCGCATTTCTCCAGCTTACCTATCAGAATGTCATGTGGGACTGTGTCAAAAACCTTGCTGAAGTCCAGGTATATTATTCATTGCTCTAGTAGCTTCCCAGGTATCAAAGTCAGGCTCACTGGTCTATAATTCCCAGCTCCTCCTTTTTAAAGATGGGCACTACGTTGTCCTGGAAGACTGGAGAGGGGCTCTCTCCTATTATCCATGAGTTTGTATATATTATTGCCAGTGGCTCTGAGATTTCTTCAGCTTATACCTTCAGTACCCTCGGGTGAATAGTATCTGGCCCTGCTGATCTGAATTCATTCAAACTGGTCAGATCTCTGATGTATTATTTACTTATCCTGATATGCATCCTTCCCCCTTGATTGTCTATGGTAAATTTGCTAGTGATCTGGTCACATGTTATTTTTTGTGAGAAAACTGAAGCAAAGTAGCCATTGAGCAGCTCTGTCTTCCTATCATCTTCCATTACCAGTTCATCTTCTCCATTGAGCAGCAGACCTGCACAATCCCTGATCTTTCTTTTTTGTCTGACATATCTGAAGAACCTCTTTTTGTTGTCTCTAACATTCCTTGCCAGCTGTAACTCATTCTTTCCTTGGCTTTCCCAATTTTGTCCCTACATCCTCTCACTATTCCTATGTTACCTCCTTGGTGACATGCCCCTACTTCCATTTCCTGGATGTATCCCTTTTGGTTTTTATTAAGGCTGTCAATTAATTGCAGTTAACTCACGTGATTAATTTAAAAAAATCAGTTTTAATTGCACTATTAAACAATAGAATACCAATTGAAATTTATTAAATATTTTGGATGTTTCTCTACATTTTCATATATTTTGTATTCTGTTTTTTAATTGAAATCAAAGTGTATATTATTTTTTATTACAAATATTTGCACTATAAAAATGATAAACAAAAGAATTAGTATTTTTCAATTCACCTCATACAAGCACTGTAGTGCAATCTCTGTCATGAAAGTGCAATTTACAAATGTAGATTTTTTTTGTTACATAACTGCACTCAAAAACAAAACAATGTAAAACTTCAGAGCCTACAAGTCCTCTCAGTCCTACTTCTTGTTCAGCCAATCACTAAGACAAACAAGTTTGTTTACATTTACAGGAGATAATTGTGACGCTGTACCCCATAATGCTTTATGGGAATATGACATAACTGGAATATGATCTACTGAATCTATCTATGCTACATATGCTATGTAACATATCTATATGGTTATGATCTACTGAATCTATTAATCCTATCTGCATGCATGTATCATTTTTGTATTCGAAGTTATGAATATCGGCTGTGTACTGGCTTGATTGCTAAATAACCTTAGTAGAGCATTTGGTCAGTTCCTGGAGAAAGGAATGTTGAAATTAAGTACCTAATCAAGAAAGGTACAATGAATAGTACTTAAAGGACAATGAATCTTGGAATGCTCCAATCCACATAAAAAGTCTACTTGAGGACGTTCAAGGTAGCATGTGACCCATGGCTGCTACCTGGTAAGAAACTGTGAGTCATGCATGGACATGCGACTTGCCCAGGTGACTCCAGAACTCCATCTTGGAGCTGAACTTTGCACAGGAGAGAGGAGGGGTCTCCACCCACAGGGGAAAGTCTATTTAAGCCCATGGGAGACCCCTCCATTTTGATCTTAGCTGGCTAAAGAGAGAGCCTCTCCACCCCCCATGATACTTGAAGGAAACTGGAACAAAGGACAGTGTGCAAGGGGTGTGAGTGATTGCTGGACCCAGGCTAAAAGGAGATTAGTCTGTAAAAGGGAGCATTCTGGAACTGGTGAGGATCTTATCTGTATTCAGTTTGATTAGACATAGATTTGCGCATTTTATTTTATTTTGCTTGGTGACTTACTTTGTTCTGTCTGTTACTACTTGGAACCACTTAAATCCTACTTTCTGTATTTAATAAAATCACTTTTTACTTATTTATTAACTCAGAGTATGTATTAATACCTGGGAGAGTAAACAACTGTGCATATCTCTCTATCAGTGTTATAGAGGGCGAACAATTTATAAGTTTACCCTATATAAGCTTTATATAGGGTGAAACGGACTTATTTGAGTTTCGACCCCATTGGGAGTTGGGCATCTGAGTGTTAAAGACAGGAACACTTCTGTTAGCTGCTTTCAGGTAAACCTGCAGCTTTGGGGCAAGTAATTCAGAACCTGGGTCTTTGTTGGAGCAAACAGGAGTGTCTGGCTCAGCAAGACAGGGTGCTGGGGTTCCAAGCTGGCAGGGAAAGCAGGGGTAGAAGTAGTCTTGGCACATCGGGTGGCAGCTCCCAAGAGGGTTTCTGTGATCCAGACAGTCACAATAATGCTGCCCTCTTCTTATTTACAATGTCACCAGAAAGTGAGAACAGGCATTTGCACTTTTGTAGCTGGTATTGCAAGGTATTTACATGCCAAATATGCTAAACAATTGTATGCCCCTTCATGCTTCGGCCACCATTCCAAAGGACATGCTTCCATGCTGATGATGCTAGTTAAAAAAATAATGCGTTAATTATATTTGTAACTGAACTCCTTGGGGGAGAATTGTATGTCCCCTGCTGTTTTACCCACATTCTGCCATATATTTCATGTTATAGCAGCCTTGGATGATGACCCAGCACATGTTATTCATTTTAAGAACATTTTCACTGCAGATTTGACAAAATGCAAAGAGGGTACCAATGTGAGACTTCTAAAGATAGCTACAGCACTCGATCCAAGATTTAAGAATCTGAAGTGCCTTCCAAAATCTGAGAGCCACGAGGTGTGGAGCATGCTTACGGAAGTCTTAAAAGAGCAACACTCTGATGCAGAAACTATAGAACCCGAACTACTAAAAAAGAAAATCAACCTTCTGCTGATCGCATCTGACTAAGATAATGAAAATGAACATGCGTCGGTCTGCATTACTTTGGCTGGTTATTGAGCAGAACCCGTTATCAGCATGGACACATGTCCCCGGGTATGGTGGCTGAAGCATGAAAGGACATATGAATCTTTAGCGCATTTGGCGCATATCTTGCCAAGCCGTCTAAAACAGTGCCATGAGAACGCCTGTTCTCACTTTCAGGTGACATTGTAAACAAGAAGCGGGTAGCATTATCTCCTGCAAATGTAAACAAACTTGTTTGTCTGAGCAATTGACTGAACAAGAAGTAGGACTGAGTGCACTTGCAGGCTCTAAAGTTTTACATTGTTTTATTTTTGAATGCAGGTTTTTTTTCACATAATTCTACATTTGCAAGTTCAACTTTCATGATAAAGAGATTGCACCACAGTACTTGTATTAGGTGAATTTAAAAATACAATTTCTTTTGTTTTTTTTATAGTACAAATACTTGTAATCAAAAATAAATATAAAGTGAGCACTGTACACTTTATATTCTCTGTTGTAATTGAAATCAACATATTTGAAAATGTAGAAAACAGCCAAAAGTATTTAAATAAATGGTATTCTATTATTAATAGTGTGTTTAATCACATGATTAATTTTTTTAATCACTTGACAGCCTTCCTTTTTATATAGCTAAAAATCTCATTATGCAGCCACATTGACCTTCTGTGGCTCTTCTTATCTTTCTTCTGCATCAGAACAGTTTGATGTTGAGCCTCCACGATTACATCTTTTAGGAACTGCCAGCCCCCTTCAACTCCTTTTCTTCCTAACTGGTCTTTCCATGGGATCTTGCCTATTATTTCGCTGACTCAGTTGAAATCTGCTTTTCTGAAGTTTTGCTGTTCTCATGTTCTCCTTTCCATAGGATCTTGAATTTTATCAGATCATGGTCACTTCCTCCCAAGTTCCTGACTACCTTCATGTTCTCAACTAATTCATTCCTGTTGGTCTAAACCAGATCCAAAATGGATGACCCTCTAGTTGTTTCCTCAATCAGAAAGTTGTCCCCTACACATGCTAAGAATTTGCAGGACATATGTTTTGCTGTAATAGTCTTCCAACAGATATCACGGAAGTTAAAATCTCCCATTGATACTAGCTCATGTGTGTTTACTAATCTTGTTACCTGCTTGTAGAATGACTCATCCACATCCTCTTCCTGGTTTGGTGGTCTAAAATAGACCCCCACCATAACATCACTACTGTCGACCTATTATCAACTCAAGGTAATTCTAGATTATACCTTTTTCTAACCAATCAAGATTAATTGATCACTGAATTAAAAATTAGTGATTGTCAAGGTGTAAGTGATCACAAATGTACTGAGCAACAAAGAGTCCTGTGGCACCTTATAGACTAACAGACGTATTGGAGCATAAGCTTTCGTGGGTGAATACCTACTTCGTGTACTGAGTGTCCCTACAGGGTTTTACATGGGGTTAACTAAATCAGTTTCAAAATCACACCTTTAGTTAAACCAGTGCACTTTTATATACAGACAAGGCCTGTTACCCCTTATGATCAAATACTCTATATTGCACCTACCTATATGCGGGCTGTGTATTAGGGCTGGCTCATTCTGCTTATTGCTGGATTTCCTTGGGAGCTTGGAGCTGCTCTCTTCCTTAGCTGTGCCTTTCCTCTCAGCTTGCTGGCTTAACGCTGGGAAAGGGAAGAAAAAAAGAAAAAAAACCTTTAGCCATTTTATTTACCAGAGGCTACCTGATGCCTAAAGACAAGCTCCTAAATCTGTAAAACTTCCAAAAGTGCTGGGTGCCCACAAATCCCACTAAAATCAATGGTCAGGCCAGGACATAGAACATCATTGGTGATGCTGATGAATGATCTCTTGAAGTTGATGGAGGGCAGACATTCATGCTCATACTCCTGGGCCTCTCTTCAAACAAACAACACTGTCAGTCATGAGCTACTGCTATTCCGCCTGAGGGAGATGGTAGGAATCCAGGGAAATATGCTAAAATGGTTTGAATCCTCCCTGGCGGGATGCACCCAAAGGACAGTGGTGGGAAACTGCACCTCCACACTCAGACCCGCGTTCCCTCTAAGGTGCGCACCTGGGCGGCTGCACAAGAGGGCAGCAAGGGCCGTGTACCTAATTAGTGGAACCACGCAGGTGTGGCTCCACTAATTAGGTGCCTGGACCCTGGAGAGGACGCACATGTAAGCTGGTGGTGTGGGGGGATTAGGGGTAGTGGGGGGAGGGATGGGGGGAGTTTGGGGCGTGAAGGACTGCAGCGGCTGGTGAACTCGGCCACCCCCCTCCCCCAGCTGGGCTGCGGTAGCCAGGGAGATGCCTCTGGGAGCCAACTGAGAACAAAGTAGTTAAGCTCACAGTGGCTGGCAGTTGTATTCTAAACAAGCTGGTGTCTTTGTTGCTCGAATGTTTAGCCCCAAGTACAGTGACAGTAATCAAGTCTGAAGGTGACAAAAACATGGCTTATTGAGGCTAGATCTTCAAGGAAGAAGGGGTAGAGGATTTTAGCAGCTGATGGTGGAAGAAGGTGGTGTTGTATTTGTGTGGTTCTGGTTTTTTGTTTTTTTGCCACAGACCACCTTAAGGTTAGGGAGGTCCCTCCCAGCCACTGATACTACCTGGTCATTTAAGGGATGGTGGGTGTCTTCCAGAGCTAATGGGAGTACTTGATTTTCACTGGTGTTCACCAGTGACCAAGGGCACAGCACAGCTTTCAAATGTTTCCAGGGCTTCCAGCACTTTATTGTGCAGGAGTTAGGGTTAGGGTTAGACAAGTGATTTCCATTAAGTTTTAGAATTTGTTTGGGGAGAGGTATTGGAAACCATTAAGGCCAGATCTTTGCTATCTGGTATAGTTCTGGATCTTCAGAGTACTCCCACTGACTCATAAGTAGCAAAAACTAGGTTTGGTGCTAGGTGTTTTGTAGGATGAAGACGTTATTTGCAAGCTCCGAAACCATGTGTTAATGTGCTCTGTTTACTTAAAGGACTTGTAAAAACATAATGAGCCTACTCTGAGTTTTTGAGTTGGTGACACACAATATGAAACCAGGAGAACTTTAACTTTGCCTGTTTCTACAGGGTTCTGTTACACAGCTTGGGTCCTCAACACATTTAAAATACCCATCACCAACCACTTGATTCTCATAGACTCATAGACTTTAAGGTCAGAAGGGACCATTATGGTCATCTAGTCTGACCTCCCGCATGATGCAGGCCACATAAGCTGACCCACCCACTTTCCCTTAACTCAGCTGTTGAAGTCTCCAGATCGTGATTTAAAGACTTCAAGTCGCAGAGAATCCTCCAACTTGCGACCCCTGCCCCATGCTGCGGAGGAAGGCGAAAAACCTCCAGGGCCTCTGCCAATCTACCCTGGAGGAAAATTCCTTCCGGACCCCAAATATGGCGATCAGTAGAACCCCGAGCATATAGGCAAGATTCTCCAGCCGGATCCTCATTTTACCAGCGATGGCACGTTATTGCCTAATTGACTAAAATCACGTTATCCCCTCAAACCATTCCCTCCATAAACTTATCTAGCCTAATCTTGAAGCCAGACAGGTCTTTTGCCCCCACCGTTTCCCTCGGAAGGCTGTTCCAAAATTTCACCCCTCTGATGGTTAGAAACCTTCGTCTAATTTCAAGCCTAAACTTCCCCACGGCCAGTTTATATCCATTTGTTCTCGTGTCCACATTAGTACTGAGCTGAAATAATTTGATGTTTTACTTCCCTTTGTATTTTCAGTGTAGTCACTTATTTGTTTGTGGTTTTGTTTGCTGTCTGTGTCGCTTTACAGGTCTGTTGCATCTTACGCACATTTAACATGCGCGATTTCAGCTTTACGCGGTCGGCAAAAACAAAAAACAGAGAAAAATAACAATTTTAATACTGTACCTGTAGTGCGGGCGATTCCGCCCGCCATTACACTCAATGTAATTTTGACTATACATGATTTTCGGTTTACGCGCTGACTGCAGAACGTAACCCCAGCGTAAGATGCAACAGACCTGTATTAGTTATTTTTACTGTTCTGTGTGTGTGAAGTATTAATCAACTTAATAGTTGATATCCCATAGAATTGTATAAGCCTGAGTGAATGCCTTTTACTCTCCTTTCCAATATCAGAAAATATTGTATTAATATTTGCGAGGAGAGCATCACTATTTCCAGTTGACTCATAGATTTGTTTAGCATCTTAAAGCTGAGCTATGTGTGCAGATAATATGCATGCAAGAGGGATAGTTTTGTGAACTGCAAAAGTCCATAGCATGCTAGTGTTTTGACAGATGCTTCATTTTTCAAGAGCAACTTTCCCTGAAGATTTAGTGGTCTGTGATAGGATTAGGTTATTGAATTGGGCCTCTGGAGCATATTTTTTATGCTTTTACTTAATGGCCATGACTTTGTTTTATTTATATAGCTGTTTTCAGTATGCCACATTTTGGTGTGTTTACTAGCTTGAGTTGTTAGAAAGGATTATAAAATACATGTACTCCAAGGGCAGTGTTAATTTTCTTTTTATTTGATTTCATATTAAACAAACATCTTAAGCAGTGCACCTTGTTCATTATCCCTTGTTTTAATATTCTGTCTTCTTCTTCCATACCTCTGAACTTTTAAAAAATATATATTATATCTAGGGGTTTTTTTGTACTGGTGGCGCACATCCACACATTACCTCAATATTGGTGCTGCACATAACAAAATTCATTCCGCACATGGATGGAAAAAATTAGAGGGAACATCGTCTCAGACCCCTCACTTGTGAAGTCCCAAAATTATCAATTCTCTCTTAGGTCCTATTCAACATCTGCATACTGCTACTGGGAGAAGTGGTGAGATGACATTGACTCAAGTGCCCACAATATGTAGATAACAGACACCTCTACCAAGCTTCACCACATACAACAATATCGCTGGCACTAAGCTGGCCCACTGCTTGGACAAGAGCAGCTGGTAGAAGCTGAACCCAGGCAAGACAGAGATTATTCTGACTGGCAGAAAAAAGCACTTTGAAGAGCATGCAACCAATGCATTGGTTGAAGATACACAACCATAGCTGATCAATTCAGACCACAGTTTGGAAGTGCTCCTGAAATCCTTTCTGACACTAAGCTCTGATACACAGCAGTGTATATATTTCATGGTATTCCTTAAAATATACCATAATGAATGACAGTGGGAAACACGGTCATCTGGGCATATGATTTGTCACAGAGGGTCCCAAAAACATATAACCCTCTGGTCTCTTGGGGTGTTTGGGTTATGGGGTTCCACAATTGGGGTGTGGTGTTACCATGTGTAATCATAATGGTACCTCCATAGAGGACAATCCTTAAGCTTGCAGTTAGGTACTTACCAGACTGGGCATAAAGTCTCCCCTGGAACGCTGGATGTATGACAATTTAACCACTTTGCAGAATGTAACCCTACAGCTAATATAGATGCCAAGCTGGAAGGATCCTGATTTAAGCTGACCGGAGCCTGGAGCTGGAAATAATTCCTTATGGACGAGCGTGTGGAAGCCACTGTGGGAGCGGGTGCAACCAGAGCTTGTCAATGTGTCCTTTCAGTCCACTACGTGGATGGGTGGTAAATCCCAAAGAATGGTGGGTGGACCGGGTACACCCCAACTGCAGCACATACGTAGAAGGGTTGAAGCAACAATTTAATTAGCGAGTGAGGGAATACACATGGAATTGTCACTGCAAAAGGGATCTATGGGCAGTAGGAACCACAGGGTTGGGTGTATAGAATCTGGGGGAAAAGGTGTGTATAGGAATGCAAAATGCTCAACTAGGGGGCTAGCCCCTGGGTAATAGTTGCAATGGTACCTTGGAATGAGATGGCAACTAAGGTGGTCCCCATGAGCGCTATGGGAATAATAAGAAAGGGAGGACCACTGGGGGATAGATAGGGAGAATAAAATGGTGTAAAATGGACAATAATTCAGTTAAATAATCGTTTGTCCCCCCCCCCCCAAAAAAATATTGAAATGTGCCCCTCCCCAATGGCCATAAAGGAGCAGACGCAATGGCCTGTGCCAGGGGTGGACAATTAAATGTAATGTATATGGGGTATGGAGTGTGCTGCTGGGAGTGTGCACAATTCTGTAATATAATACTTGAGAGTACAAGTACACCAGCATCTGGCACAATTACACACATGTACATGCTGCCATTGGGACTTTGGTACATAAATAGATCTATGAAACTCATTGCTGTGGACAACTGAACCAGTGTGTTACCCAATTCTATATCAAGTGGTCAAGCTGGTTTGGACAATACCACGTTTCTCTGTAGATATTCAATGGACTCATGATATGGACAAGAGCACATGAACACTGTAGGGGCAGCTCTCTGCAACTGCCAACAACTGGACACATTTAAAATACACCTCTACCCCAATATAACACGACCCGATATAACACGAATTCAGATATAACGCGGTAAAGCAGTGCTCCGGGGGGGTGAGGCTGCGCACTCCAGCGGATCAAAGCAAGTTCAATATAATGAGGTTTCACCTATAACGGGGTAAGATTTTTTGGCTCCCGAGGACAGCATTATATCAGGGTAGAGGTGTATACGCTCCAAAATGGTGTTACAGGATTTTAACCCTATTAAAGGAGGAGAAACAGTGTTTCTGGTGGTGGCCCAGATGTTG